TAAGGAACACTGTAGAGAACAACATGCTAGGATCTTCCAAAATTCATTCTGATGCTATGGCACATTCCTTTAGGTAAAAGTTTGAGGATTGGATGGGCTGAGTGACCTCTTCAAACTGTGATACAAATGATGTCTTTCCTGTCCTTTGGTTAAATACTAGAGATACCTCAACAGTATGTTAGAAAACAGTCATTGGGATGTTTGTGGCACATTTGTGCAGGGCATGATCAGTGTGGAGGCGGAGCACTGGATTAAGGGCAGCGCACTGCCTAAGCAACTACTGCTGCTGACCTGGCTAATTTAGGATGAGCCACATCTGAGGAGGTCTTTTAAGAACACACTGGGCACTCCCCCGGAGGGGAAAGCAAGGGGACAACATTCGAGCAACAGTCCCGGAGGGGATTGTGAAGATAGCGTTGAGGTCGAGATTTTGCTACTTTTTCTTTTCTCCTGTCCCTCTGGGATGATTCACTGGGGACAGGTTGAGTTTTTTTTTGTTTTTGTTTTGCTACCTTTCTGCCGGTGTAGACCCTGCTAAATGGATCCCACTGTTACAAGCTGTCTTTCTTTTTCCCCCAGACTGGACCCTCTTAGAAAGGAATAGTCCAGTCTTGACACTGCGGTGCAAAGTGGTGAGCTTTTTTCTTTTTCCTTTTTTGGGGGTTTTTCGCTAGCCTCACACTGGTGCCTCTGCACCTCAGACGGGGCATCGACTTTTACCTGTGTTTGCTGTGGCTCCTACCACTCTCACATTGTCACAAGTACTGTAAAGATCAGTTCTTTCCGGACCCTATGCGGATGACACAATCCAGAATAGTGAGGAAGGAATTCGCTAGGGAAAAGTCATGCAGGAACAGGGATGAACAGGGGGACGTGTCCATACGGTGCTGGTGATCTGGGGAGGTGTGGCCGAGGCGAACAGTCCAGAATAAATCCAAAAGGGGGAATCCAAAAACGAAAGCAAAAGGTCCAAGGCTGAGAAATCCGTCCAAACAGGAGATTAAAATCAGGTGCCGGGTCGGGACCGGCGGGGGGAACAAGGACAGGAGCAGGAAGTTAAAAACATAACGGAGCCAGGCCCAACCAGGTCCCGGGCTCGCACAATGCGGGGATCAGATGCAGAGCCACGAGTAAGGTAAGCGAAGGCGAACTGAACAGGGGACAAACAAGGAACAGGTGGCAGGAATGATACAAACGAGGAAGGGCTGGAGCGCCCTGAAGAGGAGGGGTTGCGATCGTGACAAGTACTAATTTCATAACTACAACCTAGTGACTCAGGATGTATTCCATGTCACAGGAAGCAAAAAAAAGTGTTTTCTAAGTGTTAAAAGCAATTAACTCCCCAGTATACTGATTTAAGACATTCATGCTTCTGTGTTACAGGCCAAACATCTGGAAATAGCAGTGATACAGCATCACACTGAATGAGGAAATGATCTTCACTCTAACCTTTGCCATTACCGTATATTGCCGGTATTAATATATTGTCATTTCTGTAAACATGGATGTTTCCTACTGTATATACCATTAGCACCGATATATAAAAATGTTAGTTTATGAGCACGTCACTCATTTTGCAGGACATGTTTATAGCTGGGCAGGGTATACATGTATTCTCCTACAACAGCATGAATGTTCTGTAGCCTCTGACCATGACCTCACTGATGTGCCATACTGTACCTCTAGTGACTGGTGTGCCCTGAGAGAGCTTCTCATGCCTCTCTGAAAGTAGCTTTTATCACCGGCAAATCAGTATCCTTAAATCCTTAATTCACGTTAGCAGGCACTCTATAGTATGTATTAAAAATAATAAATATCGGTCTGCTTTCTTTTAGTGTTCACTACTTGACAGATGAATTAACTGTAAGATCTGCAGAAAGACTAATTGTTGTGAGACTTTCTGGCACATGAAAGTAACAGCGATAGCAGAAATCTCTTTCTGTCTTTCTCGCGCCTGTTAATTTTAAACCTAATGTTTGAGAGGCTCGGAATTTTCCAGTGTTCTTAGTTCAATAAGGATGAGGAGATATTGTTGAACGTTACTGCTATTACAGCAGATCATTGATACCGCAAAGGGCATGTTGGCTTGTGAAGAGCTGTTCGAACAGAATTCGTGGTATGACACTGCTTTGAAAATGAGTTGCCGAGTAAGTTACACAACTATCGGAACAGGAAAAATAGGACACTCACATCACATTTTCGCTCAACAGCAATATACAGTAACAGAAATGAATTATCGGGGAGCATAATTAGGTAAATTCCTCTGATCACAGAACACATTTTTCTCTCGCATTGTACTGTATAGAAATAAAGTCAATATTTACAATAATACTATATTTGTGCGTTGATTCAAAGGTAGATAATGGGAACAGTACACAACCATTTAACAAGTTGACGTGCAAAAGAATCTGATTTAAAATTTAGGATGGCACATTACAGACCCTTCGAAATTATATGGATGGGCATTCATTTTCATTGACCGCTTAGTCTGTTTCATGGTCAAGCTGACGCAGTGGCCCATTAATTGAGCATGCCTTTTGACGGTGAAGAAAAGGCAGTACCCGAAGGGGCAGCAGGTGGATTCCTCACAGAAGTCTCCTCAGTCCAGAATCAAACCCAGGGTCCAGGAGCCGTGAGCTGTGAAAACGACCACATCCCCTTACTGCCCCCCGTTATAGGAGAAAACAAGCCTTTGAAAATTTCGAATGGGTTTCTTTATAAATGCTGAAAAGAGAAGAAACACAACGTTTTGGCTGTGGAGCCTTCTTCAGGTGTGTGAAGAAGGTTCCACACACCCAAAGAAGGCTCCGTAGCTGAAACGTTGTGTTTCTTTTCTTCTCTTTTCAGCATGGAACAAACCTTTACTTGTTCCTTTGCAGCCTATTCATGCTGACACAGCTCCCTACTTGAACTTCTTTATAATTATTCATACAACATATCAGATTGTCGCCATACAGATGATCGTTAATGCACACTGTCATTCATCACACAGTTACAAATCAAATTTGATTAAATCACTCTTTTAGAAACCTGTTGTTAACGAAGTTCCGTTATACACTGTACCATCATTGGGAATTTCCTCTACATACAGTATGTTCAAATGATCTGGACTGAACTAGATCAAATTAGTTCAAAGCATGAGAGAGATACATTTCAGGTGAAAGACTGTGAAATCAGCAATAGCAAGAAATCTGTGTTTTGCCTTTTTGAAGTGTTTTGTTAGAAATCCTCATGTCATTTTATTTGGTCAGAACAGAAATCCTGTTTTAGACAACGGTCTAAAAACGTACAATCCTAGAGCCGTATAATTGACACTTAACTACGATTCATTGGTCCTGTGGGCTTCTACATTCTAACATAGCTCTTGTTCCTAACGAGAATATACTGTAACTGCTGTACAAGGCTGATTTCTGTAATTTTGCTTTCATTTAATGCTATAACATTTATTATCTAGGAAACAAACACAATTCCCATTAGAAAACAGCTGTAGATCAACAATCCATATTTATAGCCAAGTAAAGAAATAGTTGTTTTTGTACATTATATCAATCAGGTTTTTTTTCCTTGACCTTTGGTTCTGTATGATACATTGAAAATATATGATCTCCAGACTGTGTGTTGGAACAAAACAAAGAATATAATCTTGATGAAGCGCATAAAATTAAAACACACAGTTGAGGAAGTTGTTGGATACAGCATCAGTGGGGGAGTTACAACTGCTGACTTATGAGCAAGACAGTGTTTTGGAACAGCTTGCAGTTTCCTTGCTAATGAAACAGATGATCTTCTAAGCAAATTAATCTTGTTTCTTTTACATAAAAAAATAAAGTTCCAAAAACGTGATAAATTGCAGTTAAGGAAAAAAACAGTGTTCCATTTTATGGATGATTTTACTTCAGTGATGACTTAATCTTTGTATTTTCAGCCTGTTATTATAAAAATAGAATGGATATATATGCACAACACATACGAAAGGGGACAGGAGATGTTTATTTTTCTCTTCGTTTACAGCTTGTTAGGAGAAACTTTTCTTCTGAGAAGCGTTAGATTGTAACCCCTTGCCATCTTCAGAAAATTGATACGAATTATATTTATATACCATAGTGTGCATCTGCATTATGGGATATATTATATATTTTTCATTACAGATGCCCAGGAAACAAAAAAGCAGTGAATAACCATAATCTATTTAAACGAACTGTGCATTACAGTTTCAATGCAATAGTTTTGAATATCCAGACATTCTTTGAAATATTTTTGTCCATTTTTGTGCTGCATTTAATGTTCACTTTGCACTTAAAATCAGAAGTATGGTGAATTGGTGAATCTATGAACTGGCTTAATCACTCTGCTCTCCCCCCCACTGATATCTGGTGTGTGGTGAGCATTCTGGCGCACTATGGCTGCCGTCGCATCATCCAGGTGGGGCTGCACACTGGTGGTGACGGAGGGGATCCCCATTACTTGTAAAGCGAGTGGAGTGTCCAGAAAAGCACTATATGAGTGTAAGCAATTATTAATTATTATTATTATTATTATTATTAAATGAAAGTCATAAAGTCTGAAGAAGAACACCACCATCAGTACAGACATGGAACTGTGACTGATATGCTTCTTAATGTCTTAATGTCTGAGGGTCTGTGTATTATTTTATCATGGAACACTGTAATTTACTTAAAAAATGGACTTACCAATTATTTCCGACGGGTCCAAATTCTCCTTGCTCTAGTGAATAATCTGATAGAAATCTACACCTGCTTTGTTTCAGATGTGATGCATGGTGGTAATAAAATGACTCCTGAATTCTGCCTGCAAGAGTAGAGTTGTAAGTGATATGGTATTGAGTTCAGCTGTATCACTTTGTGGCATATTGGAATCCTTAAGTGTAGAGCTTTATAAGAGCTATTTAAATGTATAACCCCTTTTATTAATCAATTAATTAATCCTGCTTTCTTTAACTTGATGTGCCTTGACCACTCTATGGCCTCACTCCCTGCAGTCTCCACTGATCAAACAGCTCATTGCAGCAGGGACTGTAGCACTGTGTTCTGCGTGCCCTTGGGTCACATTCTAAATACAGAGCATAAGATCAGCTGCATTCACAGTATAGTAGATATTACAAAAAGGCTACATAAGCTCTCTAAGGAGCAAATTAACTTGGTTTTTTGAACTCTTGTCTGCCAGAGGTTTTGAGTTCAGGCCTTAATCACGAAAGCGGATAGATTTTCAAATACTCAGATATATTTTACGCACGGTGAAGTATCATTGATTTGAATTCAAGGTGGGCAACAATGCCCATTAAGAAAAACCGGCAAGGAGAGGTTCAGTGCCTACTCACCTGACAGATCAGATGCACCAGGTTACAACTAGCGTTTCGGTCAGGAACTTTGATGATAATAATAATAATAATAATAATAATAATAATAATAATAATAATAATAATAATAATAATATACTGTAGGTATTTAATAATTTAGAGGATATTGCATTTTCTGCAAAGGCTGTGTAGAAAGCAGAAAAAAACAATCCTCCACTGAAGTCTGAAACAGGCCAAAGCCCAAAACAAGGTATGCAATCCAAGGAGAAAAAAAACAAAACACCAGGATCAGTGAGAAAAAAAGAAAATCCAAGAAGCTAAAAGGTAAAAAAAAACAATAAAAACAGAAGTCAGGATGTTTAAAATTGAGGTAAACAATACAAAACAGCACAAAGGCTGAGAGCAGAGTTTATATACAGTAGACCTGACGAGGGGAGGCGTGGACACCTACAGTAGGTACACTAGGCCAACAGAGATTGGCTAGAGACGTCTGCTTGGTCTGCGTCTCTGCTGCGCAGCTAGAGCAACAACCAGAGCTTAGGGCGCCCTCTGGTGGCGAGATTTTGGCATCACAATATTTCCTCTTTTCTCAGCATTAAAATGGGATGAAATACTTTGTGGAGTACTGCAGGAATCTGTACACGTACCACTGCTCGTCTTATTTAATATCAGTTGTGTAGATTCTGATAGATTCTGATATACTTAGTAAACAAGTCAAATTTGCAGATTATATTAAATTAGGAGTATGCAAAAATTTTAGAAGCTGCAAATGAAATTAAAAAAGATTTAGATAAAATTCAAGACGGGTAAACACCTGGCAGATTATATTTAATGGAGACAAAGCAGGGGTTTGTAATGCAGGTAATAAGAACATAAATACAAAATGGGAAACTGCAAGAAGAGAGCAATTAAAAAGCAAAAAAAAATTATATGCAGTCAGAAGTGTAGAATTCAAATCGAGGGATGTTGTATTAAAAGGCTATAATGCACTTGTAAGGTCTCATCAAGAGTATTGTGTAAAATTGTGATCAAAGTGTGATTTAAAAGATTTTGCTAATCTTGAATCAGTCCAGGGAATTCTGGGACTTAAGGGAATGGCCTACACTAATGGACTATGAGAGGACCTGATACAATTATTCAAAATCATTAAAATCCTTAAAAGCATTGACAAAGTCACCTCAGTGGATTTCTTCTTGATCTACGGTAAAACACAACAGACAACATTTAGAACAAAGACCAGGAGGCACTTCTTGCAAAGAACTGTGGGAGTATGGAGCATGTTTAAGAAACAGCTGGATGAGAATCATGTAAGAAATGTTACAAATGACAGTAGGCCATTCCATCAACTGTTTGGCAGAAAGAAACTTATTAATCCAAGGATGTTTTTACTATACATGATCTTATGCATATGCTTTTGAGTTCTTAATTTTTGTAGATTTGATTTTTGGTTGGGGTTTGCAGATTATGTGGAAAAGAAATGTGTATAATGGTCTTGTTCTAGGGTATACCAGAATCAATGTACCTACTATATAAATACAGGACAATGAGAGCTCCTTCTACCTCATTTTTTGAAACACCCTCATATATTAGAATGATCAATAACAGAGAATTGTATGCACTTTATATGTAACAAATTTAAATTGCCTATTAAAGGCTGAATAGGATGTATTAAAAGTGTCATGTTTCTGTCACATTCCACTGTAATGGCTTTCTGTCTTTTCTGTATTTGTCTTGTTCAGCATTAATGGTTGCTGTCATGTCTATCTCATGCTTTGTAGTAATGACTGCACATCTCTTCATATTGCCACTCAAGGGTCACAAATGACCAAGGCTGGGATTTTCAAATTTCAATCACAAAAGCTGAAGGAGAAAATGAATTCCATCATTGTGCAATCTGCAAAACAGTCTTCAGAATGATGTGTGATTAATGTACAGTAGTGTTCTGACAGGACAGAGAACAGTT